GCCAAAGTTATCAGGACTAAGCCATAATATGTCAGGTTTGTGATGTGTGAGTTATCATGATATTCCACAACTTATAATGTAGTATGAAATAATGTACTCCTTCCGTATAAAGTTAGTACAAAATCGAGTCACGTATTTTGGGATGGAGGAAGTACAAGAAAAGGCTAACAAACAACAATAAAATAGTTTTTTATTTCCTGCCATGGGGTTTAAAAAGGTCAAATAGACAGTTTCCATTAGTAAGACAACAAGTAGTATTAGGTGAGTTGGTCATTGGCATTGTACAACAATCAACGGACCTGGGTTTGATGCCTACTATGCACATTATTTTTACTCGACAGCGACGTTAAGAAAAAATCAGCACTACAGCGACGTTCGGTGGGAGCAGGATCGATAGCGACAGCAACAACGACGTTCGCTACGCAGTAGGCTAAACGCGCGCCGTCGGATTCGAAACAGATGGCATCCGAACAGTGCGGATCTGTTGTAAATGTCCAGTCAGGAAATTAGCTTTTGCCTTATTTGATTATATGTAGTATATAACAACCAATACACATGCAACACCGCAGAGAAGAAGCTCAACCAATCAACTGATGGAAGCACACACCATTGCAAAATATGTTTTTCTCTCCTCAAATTGGATGAGTCTCGAAATTTACAACATATATAGTAGAGATAGAGGTAACTTGAATCACCGCACATGTAGAATTACAGGCAGTTACATGTAGATTCAAATTACAAAGTTTACGTATTAAATTCTGAATTCCGACGAGACGTGCATTGCACGTGCACGCTTACTAGTAGCTGGCCAGTTACACTAGCTTTCAATTAAGCTCGTTCCCTGATCAAGAGAAGTGGCGGCACACTCTGCTCGTTCCGGAAGTAGTCGGTGGCATCCACCTTGCGCTTGATCTTGGCGAGCCTCTTAAAGTTTGTCAGACCGAAATACCTCTCACCCCACACCTTGGCAGTCTCATAGCTGGTCACGCCACCGACCACCTTGTTCACGCCAATGTCAAGGTCCCGGTAGTTAACGTACGCGCCCCTCGGGCTCTTGCTGACCAGCGGCGCCATGAAGTCGTACAGGCCGCTGAGCCATTTCGGCGTGCCGTGCGCCCGTGTGCCGTTCCAGAACTCGACGTACTGGATATTGTAAAGCACGCTGCTCCGGTACGGGAAGGGCGTGTAGTCATCGGCGATGCGGTTCATCATTCCGCCGTGCGGCTCCAGGATGAGCTGCCCCACCGCCCCGCCATCGGGCCAGAGGAAGATCTTCTCCCATGCGTCCCTGGTGAGGGCCTTCTTGACGTAGTCGGACTTGTTCTTCACAAATGGGCCTATGGTCATGGACCGGTTGAGAAGGAGCGCCTCCAGCGGCGTGTTGTTGCTGGCGTCGCCGAAGTATAGGTACGCCTTGTGCTGCAGCCAGCTCATCTCCTTGCACTTGCGGCGCGTCAAGCCGAGCTCCGGGAACCGGCTGCGCATCGTCGCCACCACCGCGCTGCAGTTGCCGAGGTACAGGGACTGGAAGGTCGCCTGGCGCTTCTGGACGACGACACGCACGCTGAGGTCCTCGGGGAGCGCCGGCGCGATCGTCTGCCATTTGGTGACCGCGTCGACCGCGCCCTGGTCCATGGTCTTGGTGACATTGAAGAAGGCCACCTTGGGTGGGACGGGCACGAGCCTCAGCTTCCACGACAGCACGATGCCAAAGTTCCCGCCACCGCCGCCGCGGATGGCCCAGAAGAGGTCGTCCCCCATGGCCTTCTTGTCCGCCAGGAGGTTGCCCTCTGCGTCGATCATGGTGGCGTCGAGGACGTTGTCGGAGGAGAGGCCGTTCTTGCGCATCATCAGACCCATGCCTCCGCCACTGATGAGTCCCCCCACGCCGACGGTCGGGCACACGCCAGCCGGGAAACCCAGCCCGGGCGCCCCCGTGGCGACGCGGTAGTAGAGCTCCCCGAGCGTCGTCCCGGAGTCGACCCACGCGGTGGCCGCGCGCGCGTCCACGCGCACGCCGTGGAACTTCGAAAGGTCGATCACCGCGAACGCCTCGCCGTTCGGGGTGGCCGATCGGTACGAGAGGCCCTCGTTGTCGTGCCCGCCGCTGCGCACGCGGACGCGCACACGGTGGCTGCGCCCGCAGCGCACGACGGCCTGGACGTGGGACGCCTGGGTGGGCGTCACGATGCAGAGCGGGGGGCTCGCCGTCGCCGGCGCCACCAACCTGGCGTTCCTGATGGACGACACCAGGAGCGGCTTGAAGGAGCGGGAGCTCGGCGTGAGCACGAGCTGGCTGGGGATTTTGGTGGAGAAGCACGAGAGGAAGTCGGTGTGGTTGGATTTGGAGGACCACGCGAGGGACGGGGAGAATCCCAAGAAGCAAATTGTGAGCACCAGTGCTACGCGCGCCATTTTCGTTCTGCCGCGTGCTCTCGTACCCGGCGCTGATGTTCTTCTGCAAATATTTCACCTTGTTTTATAGGCCATGCGGCATTAAAGCATGCATGCCTAAACATTTTTTTACTCCTATATGGTCAAGGGCCAGTTACATGCATACATGGAATCTCGCCGCCTTTCTTGGCCAATGTTTGATTAGTCTCTCCCCAAATCAAGTAGGAAGTGAATGCGAATGTAATCTATTCTGTATCTACCTATATTAATTCAGCACTCCCTAGAAAATCTCACGTTAATTGAAAATTAGGAGCCATTAATTTGGTAAGACCGAATTATAATGACTTGGATTATTCCCCTTATAAGAGGTTAAAATCTGAAAAATAGAAGCCGTTCATCCGGTGGGGCCAATTTATAATGGCTCGGATTATGCCAATAAAAATACTATCAATAAACGAATGTTAACAGGAAAAAATTATTCCCACGCCCGAAATATAGTAAATCTCGTAACTAAAAGAAAAGTTCCACACAAAATTGTCTTCCCACGCCAAAAATAAAGCCAATCCCATCATTAAAAGAAAAGATTCACCTTCCCTAAAAAAAGGATCCTTACAAGATTGTCTACCACGCTCAGAATTACAGTCGATCACGTCATGAACAACAAAAGATCCTCATAAATATTTATCCCGTTAATACATTTTTTCCTATTATAACCAAGAGAAACCAAGAGGCATATGTCTACACGGAGGAGGGGATCCTCGCAAAGCGATATATAGTCAATCACGTCATTAAAACAAAAAGATTCTCCCAAAATATTCTTCATTCCATTTATTTCGCAAATAGTTGTTTCCTATTATTTGGAAAAAAAATCTGGAACCGTATGTCTATAAGGAGGAGGAGATCCGCGCTGCAGAATTATCCAGGACCATGGCCGCAAGAGACAGTTTGGCTAGACCATTTTCACAAGATGCACACCACCGAGACCTTTGCTGTGACCACACTGAAGGCCGTCTTGCTCGGATTATTCCAATAAAAATAATATCAATAAAAGAATGTTGACACAAAAATATTATTCCCACGCAAGAAATATAGTCAATCACGTCATTCAAAGAAAAGTTCATCGCAAAATTGTCTTCCCACGCCTAAAATAAAGCCAGCCGCGTCATTAAAACAAAAGATCCACTTTCCATAGAAAAAATAAGCGATCCTTACAAAATTCTCTCTCACACTCAGAATTATAGTCAATCACGTCATTAACAACAAAAGGTCATCATAAATATTTAGGGCGATGCTAGGCGCCGGTGCGCCGGCCGAATGTTTCGGCCGGTCCAGCCCTAGCCGTCAGATCAGCCCGTCCCGCGCCGTTGGATCCTTATCCAACCAGGTCCTCGTCTTCCTTTCGCGAGCGCGTAACGAGCGTCGTCTTCCTCTCGCGAACCCCATTTCGTCGGCTGCCCCCGCGTTCCCCCTCGTCGCCGCCCCTCCCTCGCCTGCCCTCCTCGTCCCTGATCACCGTCCTCGCCGGCCGTCTGTCCCGGCCGCCCTGGTCGCCGGTAGTCCTCGGCGGCCGTCCTCTTCACCGGCTTCGCCCCCATGGAAATAGCCCATCCCTGCGGTTGCAGCTTCCATGGCCACCGTTGCAGCTCCGGTCGCGACGACCGGAGCTCACCGGCGTGCTCACCGGTGTGCTCGCCGGCGCTCATCCCCTGCTTGCGAACAAAAAAGATCGAGCGCCCAGGGAGATGCTCAGTGCTGCAACCTACGACGAAAAAAGGTACAACTAGCGATAGGAAAAGCTTCAACCGGCTACGAAAAAAGCTTCAACCAGTATACGACTGGAGCTATGGATGACCAAGAAAAGTTACAACCAGTGACAGAGAAAGCTTCATCTAGCGATGAAAAAAGTTTCAACCGTGGAAACAAAAGCCATGGACGAAAAGTTACAACCGGTGACAAAAAAAGCTTCATCTAGCGATGAAAAAAGCTTCATCCGACTATAAAAAAAGTTTCAACCGTGGAATGAAGCCATGGACAAAAAACAAAAAGTTGCAACCGACAGTTATAAAAGTTACAACCGCATTGAAAAAAGCTTCAAACTCCTTATCTCAGCTGCGACCCCGCGATGACGATGACGTCGTTTTGCTGCAACCGTAGTAGATTTTTGCTACCACCGGCGATTGAATTTGCTACAACCGGTTTCATCAAAAAATCGCCGTGGGGTGTAGTCTGTCATGGCTCCGGCGAAGTAGGCAGAGCTCCGATGCATGCGAGGTAGGCGTCGCCGTGGTAGCGCCCATCGCCCCAGTTGCAGCATCTCCCGTGGTCACCGCCCCTCGGTCGCCGGCGAGATGGAATGGTCACCGTGCAGATCCATGGCAGCTTAGCGCGGGAAGGGCGCGTGGTGTTGC